TTTTTTTTTTTTTAATTATATGTACCAAAAAAAAAAGATCCAGCCTAATGGTGACTCAAACAGTGCCAGCTCTCTTCCTATGCTGAATGATGCACTGATGATGGAGGTAGCCCACACTGAGTGAGTAAAGAACTTTTCATACGGTCAGCCAGCTGTGAGCGTCCCCAAAGCAAGAGGCAATCTTGGCCAGAATACTATTAATACTGTTGTTGGGTTTTTTAATTTTTTTTATTTTAGTGTGCCCATATATCTTCCAGATACTTCACAAAGAGCACCATGGAACTTACAAGCTAAAACTCAGGAATGACAGGATGGCTAGGGGCAGAAGTTACACATAAACTGGTATAAGTGATCAGAAACCAGTTCAAATCTGTAACACAACAGAAGTTCAGTTCAAATAATCTGTTTTCAAAATGGCTGAAACTTACTTAAGATAAACCTGGATGAATGTAGTATCAGACTTAACTGACTGAGGTTGGATTGGTTTATTGAACTTCTGTCCCAGATCCCCTCCATATTCAAGTTAACTCACAGTCCCCCAGCATCCCAGAATGCTTTGCACCTCTCCCTCAAGCTCTCCTTCATAGGGTGGACTGGTAAACCTTGGTCCAAGCTGTCTGCACCAACCAAGCAAGGAGGTATGCTCCAGTACCCCAGGCTTCTGGCTAGGGCCACTGCAGGTATGTAGATGCATTTCTGGAGTGAATGTCTGTTCACTTGTTTATTGGTTCAACCTACACAGCTGAGCCTAATCTGCAAATATTGAATCAATTCAGCTTGTGGCTTTTTCACTGTCTGTACTTCGCCAATGGGTTCAGAAGACAATCAGGAAAGAGTGACTTGGGGAGAAGTGGCAATATAAATATGTGTGCAGGTAAATGGCTCAGGATGTTTAAAGTTTGTTTGTGGTACTTTATTTGTGGGGGGGTTATTTATTTATTTATTTTTGGTTTGCTATTGATTCTAAGATACAGAAGATAAAGAGAATTCTAGATATAAAGGGTTAGTATTATTTGTTAGGAATTGATACTGGACAATTAATTATATCATAGAAAACCTGAGGTTTCCACAGAAGAGAAGAGAAGAGAAGAGAAGAGAAGAGAAGAGAAGAGAAGAGAAGAGAAGAGCCTTATGGACTAGCTTGGGAAAACAGTAGATAAATATACTTAGATATCATTTCAGGGCTAGTCACACAGACTAACAGTCCACAAACAGTCTATCATGGTGAATACTTGCAATCAGTAACACTACTCTGGTGCTGAAATTGAAGCCTAGGTTTTATTACAATAGGAAATGTAGCCCTTTATGAGGGCTACATTTTCCATTTTAAAAACCTGATTTTGACATTTTCAGTTGCAAAGCTCCGCCAGATAAATTCTAGATTGTGACTAATGTCACAATAAAATGCATCCAGTACTGTATATTAATCATCCCACTTGCATGTGCTCCATGTGTTATATGTCATTGTGTCAAAAGCTAATAAAACTTAGAATAGCAATGCAATAGCACTGATGCCATTTGGCTCTGAAAGAAAATATGTGCAAAAGGTTTTTATATTTAGGCCATCACAACACTGATTTTTTAAAAACATATGAATACAAGCTTTCACACTACTGCATAATAAGTACATTTCACAGGTTTCAATTTTTGCTAGATTTTGCCTGAAATGCCCCCAAATTTTTTTGGCTGATTTCCTGAAAAAGGTAAATCAGTGATTTTTGCACTGTGGGGTAGGCAGTAGTTGTTGAAGGAAATTAATAACATCTGTAATTGTAAGCTATGTTGAAATGAATTCTTGCATGACTGGCACTAGAAGTGTTGTTATAGACTGTGAGGAATATTGCCTAACTTAAAATGAAAATCTTGTTCTATTCCTGTTTTATTTTCTTACCTCAAGTTAATTTCCTAAACACCTAGGTCCCCAATGACAGCAGCTATGGGTCTGCTGCTAACCATAAGTGTATTATTTCTTTAACAGCTACAAATTTCCCACATGTGTGCTAATACTGGAAAAAGTTAGACTAAAGTCACCTCAGCACTAATTTCAAATTGCAGTAAACATTTTTTTCATGGTAATAAGTATACTGAGGTAGTTGTTTGATCTTAACCTCAGCATCTTTATTTTCTCCTATTTTTTTTTATCAATTGCTCTGCCAGAAACATCTTTTTTTTGCCATAGCAATGTATTTCACACCTAACCCATTAGTATAAAATGAATGCCATGAATTTTCAATATTATTATTGACCATTATTATTTTCACTTTTTTTTTTTTTTTACATTTACACCACAGTAATACTTAGATGCTGTAACTAAGGTCAGTAGCTCCCCTTATACTGAGTACTGGACAAATCAAGTCAAGTCATTCCTGAGGCCACTACAACCACTGGGGTACCTTAGATGCTGTAACAGCCCTCCTCCACTCCAATAAAGTTAGTTGAGCTGCTTTGTATCACTGATGATTCTTTAGGCAGAGTGACCTGGCAGGGCCCATCTTCTCTCCAGGTATAGAGTCATAGATGTTAGGGTCAGAAGGAACCTCAGTAGGTCATTGAGTCTGACCCCCTGACCTGGGCAGGAAAGAGTGCTGGGGTCAGACAAGCCCAGCTAGGTGCTTATCCAGTCTCCTCTTGAATACCCCCAAGGTAAGGGAGAACACCACCTCCCTTGGAAGTCCATTCCAGATTCTGGCAACCCTTGTTGGCCCTCCTCTGAACCCTCTCAAGATGCTCTGCATCCCTCTTGAAGCGGGGCACCCAAAACTAGATGCAGTACTCCAGCTGTGGCCTGATCAGTGCTGCATAGAGAAGAAGCATCACCTCCCTGGACATGTTCATCATGCATCTGCTAATGCATGATAAAGTGCAGTTAGCCTTATTGATCACTTTGTCACATTGATGACTCGTGTTCATCTTGGAGTCAACTATGACTCCAAGATCCCATTCTGCTGCTGTGCTGCTGAGAAGGTCATCCCCCAGCCTGTAATTGTGTTGGTGGTTCTTTTTGCCCAGGTGCAGCGCTTTGCACTTGTCTTCGTTGAACTGCATCCTATTTTGTTCTGCCCATTTTTCCAACCTGTCCAGATCAGGCTGGATCCATTCCCTACCCTCTGGTGTGTTAACTTTTCCCCATAATTTGGTATCATCTGCCAACTTGGACAGGGTCCTC